ATGACGGAGGACGCCCTGCGCCTCAACCTCTTGAAGCGGAGCTTGGACCAAGCCGAGGAGCGGGACGATGTCCTGGCCAAAAGGTTGAAGATGGAGGGCCACGAGGCCATGGAGCGGCTCAAGATGCTGGCGCTGCTCAAGCGCAAGGACCTCTCGGGCATCGAGGTGCCCCACGAGCTCCCGGTGAAGCAGGACGGGGTGAAAGTCTACGAGGAGAAGCTCAACGGGAGCCTTAGGCCCCACGGGGATGGCAGGACTGGAGGGAGGCCGGGGAAGGAGAACATTAACGACGAGCCGGTGGATATGAGCGCGAGGAGGAGGTAAGTGCCAGCGAGGAGAGGCGGGAGCGAGCCCGGTGTTAAACTTCTGCTCAGCCCCGTGGGAGATTCCGAGGCAAAAACGAACCCAACATTCCACGGGCCTGGAGGCTTGGGGGAGTCTTCCTGGTGTCCCGGTGCCTGGGAGGTGCCTCTGGCTGAAATGGGAGCGCCAGGGGCTGCTCTCCCCAAAGAGGCTCTCTGGAAACACCCAGCGTGGAGCTTTCATTGATTCCCTTCTGCTTTCCTGCTCATTGCACCCCAAAGCCAGAGGGATCTTGTTCCTTCTCGGGAGCGCGAGCCCAAGCGCCTGGGGGAGCCCCCAGCCCTGCCCTGCTGTGTGGAGCAGCAGGGACCCCGCTGCAGCCCGGGGCCACCTACACAAGGGCCACCCGAAGCCCTTGGTGGCCAAACCCACCGCGAGGCCCCGGGCGGTCGCCCTCGGAGTCGCCCCCAGCCCGGCCAGCGGCTCCACGAGCCAGAGGGAATTCTTCTTCCCTCCTCCTGCTCCTGAAAAGCCCTTGCGGGAGGTGCCGAGCGGCGGGGAGCTGCGTCCATGCGCCCGGGAAGCGCTGGCATTCCCGGGATTTGCATCCGTCTGCCGGGTCTCTGTCCCACGGCCGCTCCAGCAACTCCTGGGGCCGCGTCCCTGCTCGCAGCAAACGGGAGCGATGGGGGGTTCTGCTCGATTTGGGTGCGGAGTCGGCGCCGACTTGGCGAACAGGCCGAGCGACTGAGCGGAGCGGTCCTGCCGGAACGCCGCGCGGAGCTTCCCGGGATGCTTCCCCGCGCTTTGCATGAGCGGGCGGCTCCGTGCGGTGACTCGAGTGACGGGTGTCCGAGGCGCAGCCCGCGGTGACAAAAGCTCCGCGTGTCCCTTGCAGGCCGGCCAGGTCCCTTGGAACCCTCGTGCGCGCCTGGTGGGGCTGCTGCCTTCCCGGAGCCACCTGCGTGCCGGGACACGGCCAATTCCTC